TACAAATATTCGACGGAAAGACATTCACTGTCAGATGTAGTTTATGTAAATTGTATTTCTCGAAAAGTAATTTCAAACATCTAAACGAAAGAAAAACAATTCTTACGTATTTTATAACGAGAAAATCTTTGTCCAACTAGAAAATAAATTATATTCAGTTGATCTTTCCAATAAACTAACATCATGATTATATCAGCAGCATAAAATCATTGGATGGAAATCTATCCTGCGAATTTACGTTGTCATGAACCTTCTTTTTCTCTTCATTTTCGTTTTCCATCGCGCGTATATTCAACACCCACCGCATTTTTTACATATTAACTTGCAATGGTTCTGTTGTTTATTTCATAAGTCAACGAACTATTTCTGATAGAGAAATAAAATTCCGTGAGACAACCGATATTCAATTAAAAATTCAATGTTCTATGATAAAAGTCTTAATGTTTTTGATAACAATGGATAATTCATGATAATTTGGACCATAAAGCAAACTATATATATTGACGTTAATGTTTTGTCTGATAGCTCTTCATGGCAATTAAAATATATCACTATTGAAAAAACAAAAAGTTTTTTATTATTTTATTTTCATAATAAAACTCTTATTTCATGTGAAGCCAATCTTGATGAATCAAATAATGAAGGCTTTCTTCACTCAATCAAACTCATAAATTTTCTCCGAAAAATCACTGTTTTGTAACATATAACAATAGAAGAAAACAACTTCAATTGGTTAATATTTAATATATAATTTATCTATGCTTCTTATATCAACCGAATGATTATTTAATTGAAACCATATGATGAGACCCTTTAGCAAAGTCAAAATGCATCACGGTTGCTAACTTCACACGCCCTCAAGATTTCGAATTGATTTACTCAAGACTCAACCCAATCTTGCTTACCAAATATTGATCAGATCAAAGATGAAATTTATTCTCATTAATGAGCTTCGAAATACAAACTATTCTTCAGATATACCATCATATTTTTCTATTAGATAGATACAAATAAAATTAGTCTTTCTTTCTTTTTGAAAGATATAGGAATTCTGTCAACTACAACATGGAAGCGAGAATACACATATTCGGATAACGATACGCAAGTTTCTTGCTGTACATTATTCTATATATCTAATCATCATTACATGTATGTCAGTGACGTCTCAGCACACTTACTGGCGACTCAAAAAATAAATTCATGTAGTTATTTTATAAAGAACATATATTTCAGTATTTATTGCAAAACTATTCGACTGAAAAACTTATCTAGATGCATTTCATATAATGTGACAAATGTGTTGGTAAATTCATAATCAATAATTGAGGCATGCTCAGATGACAAAACTACAGTTGTCTAGAAATGGCTTTGCGCATTGTACAAACTTTATTCGACACTATATACTTTATTTTTTTAATATTTTTCATCATAAACAAGCAAAGTTATTTAATACTAAAAATATTACTCAGTCTTTTTCTGTTTAGAATGAATTGAATCGGTATTTCATGAATTTTGCTTTTAATTACAAAGCTTTATAGTTATTGGCAATGGATAAAAGGGAAAGAAATTGTTTCGTTTTTGTATGTTCCACACCGAAAGCTTTTTGAACGATTCTGTGAGCTTCTGAATACGAGTTTTTCGCTTCATTCAATATGATCTGTTTTTCAGTAGATTCTTGATTTTCGTATTGATCCTTCGGTTTCTTATCCATTTCGGCTACGATTTTCATGCAAATATCACCCAAATTGACATAGACATCACATAGTTCAATATGATCCACACCTAATGTAGCCAATAAAATCTGAAGAGCCTGTTTGACGTGTTCATAAGCTGTATCGTAATCGTTCATCGCTGCATAAACAAAACCTAGAGAATTAAGGAAAATCCCATATTTATAATGTTGCTCGTTGAACTCTTTTTTGATAATCGCAAGTGCTCGATTAATATGAACAATAGCTTGTTTATCATTGTCTAAAAAGGAAAAAATTGAATAAAATACATCTCTCAAATATGTCTCTGTTTTTCTTCTAACTAACCGAGCTGATGTTGAACTTGTCCAATATTGTGTAGGATTTCAGCTGCTTCTGAATGTTCGGGACCAAGCGTCTTTTCAATTATTGTGAAAGCTCGTCGATAGATGCGTAGAGCTTCTTCATAATTATTTTTTTTTCGATCAAGATCTGCTAGATTGTTGTAATAGATACCCAATTTATAATGTTCTTGATTAGGACCGAACGTATATTTGACAATTTTTATTGCTCTTTCATAGAGGGTTTCTGCTCCATCGTAGTCACCTCTCTTGTTTAATACGAGACCCATTGAGTTGAGTAGGTCAGCTACTTCAATATGCTTTGGTCCTAATGATTCTTCCAATGCTGCCAATGCTTTCTTATATGTGAGTTCAGCTGTTCTGTAATCACCTCGCTAAAAAAACAAATCATTACAAAGATGGAGTTTTTCTTCGTACAGGCGAGTTATTGTTTAATTAAATAAAAAGATAACTAAAACAAATGTTCTCTTTTCAAGCTGTACAAAGTTCAAAAGACGTTTTTCATTCAATGTTCTAGATAAAGCACGGTGTCAAATTTTTAAATAAATTGATTATAAAAAAATATTTGGATCATCAAATGCATTGAACTAATGATTTTGTGTGTCTCTTCAAATAAACACACTCGTATTTCACTAGCTAACAAGTCCTGTTTAACTCAATTTTTTTACTATTTACCACGATTGAAAATAATTGGCCTAGAATGTGAACATCTGCCTATAGAGAGCTTACACAGAATAAAATCTCTCAAAATCCATTCAATGAATCAATTGATTCTTTTATAATGCATACCTTTCGATAAATATCACCAATATTTCCTAAATACATTCCGATTGACTCATGTTTATGACCATAATAATGTTTAGATATTTTCAACGCTTGTTTGAAATAATCCAATGCTTCTATATATTTGCCTTCTTTCTTCAAAAGAATACCCAAATTATTCATAACATCAGCAACTAAAGGATGGTTGTGACCATGTACTGATTCAAGTTGTTTAAGTGCTTTTAAGTAGAGGTCACGTGATTCAGTATAGTTTCCTTTCTTTCGAAAAAGATCTAGATTTCAATTCGAAAAATCAAAATGCTACGAACGATTCTGAAATTGAAAACATAAAACGTGATACTACCTGCTAGATTTGCAACAATCTCTGACCAAAGATCTGAATTTGTATCGGCTATTTCAAGTGCCTTATTATAGTTCGAAATAGCTTGATCGTACTGAAATTCAAAATAACATATAAATATAAGAAATAAAAAGTCGAATGACCATACATCAGAACATTTCTTAGCAAGAAGCCCAATACCATTGAGAATTTCAGCTTTTTTCTGTGATTGATCATTATGTGGCAGAAGATTGAGTGCCCGAATAAATTTGTCTTGTGCTTCGGTATATTTTGCCTTTTTAAGATAAATGTGTCCTGATGCCAAAAGTAATTCGATTCGTTGAGGATTTGATTTCGCTTTCAAATAAATATCTGTATAGATTTCTAAAGCTTTATCATATTGCCCATCGTCTTGTTCAATATGTGCACTCAGAGTCATGACATCGAACGCATTTTGCATACCTTTAATCATTTTTAAACATTGCCGTGCTTCATCATAGGCATGTTCGTTATGAAATGCTTTGGCTAAATCGTAAAATGCATTGTCTTTTTCCTTTGTACGCATTTTCTCACTACTGTACTGTCGTAATTTAAGTCCTAATTCAACTAATCTCTGTTCTCGTTGATTCTTTAATGCATCAGGTGAATAGGGGCATGATTTTTTATGTTGAGTCAAATCACTTCCAAATACTTTAGTTGGACAACCTTGTAATTTGTTAGGACAATGGAATTGAGCATTGTCGACGAAACGTTGAATGACAGCATTTGTTATTAATGTTTCTTCCGTCAATGCTGTCGAACGACATCGAGGACAACTTCGAGCAGATTGTCTAAGCCACGATTGAATGCAATCAAGACAGAAGAGTTGATGACAACAGGGAGTTTCTCGAACGTCGGTTAGATAATCACAACATATACAGCATTCAATCAAAATTTGAAATTCATCTTGTGTTGTAATCATTCTGCTTTTTTTAAATTTTCGAAATGAATGAAACGAGTTTTACTTACGAAAATATTCAAATTTCATGTGTTTTCTAAACAAAAACAATAATATACGTCAATGTATGTGAATAAAAGGATGAATGAATATCATATCGTTCAGATTTGTTTTGCTCGCGAAACACATTTATTATGGTAAAATGGAAAAGAAAGAAAATGTGTCTCGTGCGTTTTCTGCGCTCTTCTGTATGAATAGCATATATTTCAGTGTTTGATTATTCATGCTGTCACAACAAAACAGAATGGCAACCATACATGAGACGTAAGAAGAATGAGTCATACCCAAAAAGAATCGGGTTTGCTCCGTTAGCAATCAGTTTATTGTCGTCTATTATAACATACAGAGGGTGGGTGAGGGTGTGGGTTTTAGTAATAGCAAATCTATTTTCACACAACACCCGCTACAATCGTTAGCAGACAAACTGATGTATCATTGGTATCATTTGGTTGAATCTTACTCGCATTTGGCAATTTTCTTGTGTTATTTTCTTAGCAAAAATGATTTTACCCAATTTTTCTATTTTGTTCCCAGTGGTGTGAAAACAATATGTGTTTTTTTCTCTGCGGGCTTGTCATTGCGCAAATAAATCAAACAGCATGACTCATTCTCGTCTGAATAGTAAAGAATGCCTTTTTTCATTCTACCAACGATGATGTCAGTGGGTAAATTTTTCAATGGTACTTTAGCAGTTTTGTGCTGAAAGAATTTTCTCGTCGTCGATTTTTCTACGTAAGTCTGATATGAAATCCATCTTATAAGCATGCCATTGTTATTCCAAAAATTTAGAACTGGATCAAGAAAGTATGACGGAAGAAGAAATTGTCAAGATTAACCGAAAGTTAAAGAAAATGATTGACAAATCGGAAGTGGACGAATCTGTTGCTCGAGCGTTGCTTGTTCGCTTTCAAGAATTACCTATTACGCTGACGATTTTGCAAAAAACAGGTATTGGAAAAACTGTCAATGAACTACGGCGAGCTACTGCCAATGAGGATCTGTCCAAAATGGGCAAGAGTTTATTGAAAAAGTGGAAAAAACTTCTTCCTGAACCTTTCGTAGCCACATCTTCGATCAAGGGCGATCAGTCAATAGCATCGACTAATGATAACAATAGTCAACCACAGAAAAAGGACTCGATAAACAAAGCTCAGTGTCACGCAGCGAGCAAAATGATTGAACAAAAAGCTTACCAATCAACTACTTCGGTTAGTAACGTTCCATGGCAAACAGATGATAAAATAAGACTCAAATCACGTGAACTACTGGCAAATGCATTGACGGTCACTGCAATTCCTGAAGGTTCGGATGACCCAGTAGAATTATCTGCTCGTATCGAAGATGCCATCTTCAAAGAAATCAATGATACTACAGTTAGGTATGGCCGTCGTATTCGCAGTCGGATATTCAATTTGAGGGATTTAAAAAATCCTGATCTTCGCACAAAAGTACTTCTCGGTAGTATTACACCGCAACGATTGGCGGTGATGACCGCCGAAGATATGATTAGTGATACTATGAAAGAAGAATGTGCCAAATTCAAGGAAATAGCTCATCGTGAAAGTCAATTGGCAGTTGATGAAGGCATTGGCAGTGATCTGATTCAATGCGAGCGGTGTAAGAAAAGCAACTGTTCATATTCCGAACTTCAAACACTCAGTGGGGACGAGCCAATGACTCTATTCGTCTTATGCAGAAACTGCGGTCATCGATGGAGAGGATAAATTTATTGTTAGCGAGAAATACATCAGCTGGCTTTTGATATCATGTAAATTTTTTGATTTCATCTCTGATTATATCATACGATATCATGACAACTGTGATGATAATTATCTTTTGTCTGAAATTCGTTTTCAATTGTTTCTTGCTTATGAAAACAAAATCCCATCTCTTGATGAGATCATCTCTAAAGGACTATTACGAAAGGTAAATGCATTTAACTACATTTTTGATTAATCTACATGGAAAGTATGTATTTGAATGAATACTTTTCCTTCATGGTTCGTCAGAGATTGATTACAAAAAAAAATTCTCTTTCACATTCGTTTTCTAGCTGTTCTTTGTTTTCTACGATGGCTAGATAAAATATCCATGCCCGATCAATTCGAAAAAATAACTTGGGTGGGCTGTGTGTAGATAAGTACATCACAGGAAACTAACTCCTATCCTAATGATCAAAGAGGTAGATCTATATATTTCTGTTTCAATTATTAATTTTAAATGAATCACTCACAGAGACAAAAAAAATCATGAAAATAAAACGTATCAGAAAAGGCGTGGATATAGAAAAAAAACTAGAAGCGTGGAAACGCACGGAAAGTCTAGCTGTTTTATGGTACTAGCAATTATTTTTCGGTCCTTTAAGATAAATAATATGTTTATTTTTCAAATGATTATATTCATGTTTGATAAAATCAAATTCTATGTTTGGCCATATCAAAAATTCCTCTTCCACACCGGATCTGATTATAAAACTCGTCGATTATACTTTGATTGGGATCGATAATGAGCAGTGTATTGCCTTAAATTTCAGCCAAATCTCGATTTTTAGTTCTTTCATGAATTCTTGTCATTGTTCACCTGTCAGAAGAAGCCCGCGATAAACAAGTAACCAATCTGATGTTTCATCTTTGTTTATCAGATAGTTACTTAGTAGTAGCAGAATGATCCTATCGTTTTTATTGGTTCACGAGTAATTATTTCGATATCTCAAAGGACATGATTAATTAGTTTGTACCAGAAAGAGTCTTTCGTGTAGAGATAGATAAGAGTGTTACCAATTTCTGGTGGAAATGATAAATGAAAAGGACCAGACGCTGCATTTACAACACGATGATTGACAATTTGTAATTGCTCTGTTATTATTCCCTGAGCAGTATCTTCGATAATGTCACCGGTTTTTTTCCTTATAGTCCCAAGTTCAAATCTTTTATATAATTCCGACATATTATTTGCAAACAACCAGTTCTTCCATGGATTAGTTGACTCTAGCTCTTGATTTGAGAGCGCTGTTACTGTGACGAGGGTTATTGGTAATGAAAATTTTTCTTCTCTCAAATGAACATTGCTCGAATCTCTATCAAGTTGAACACGTTTTATTGGGCGCTGTTTCTGTGTGACATCATCTTTCTTAAATTGAACGTGATGCTTCAAGTTGATAATATAGTCACCATCAATTGGAGTCTCGAATTTATTTGCGTCGAAAGCATCTCCGATAATTTAATTTTCCACGTCTGTGTACTTCTGCCATTCTTCAGAAGTCTTGGAATCCTGTGCTAAATTCCAGTACCATTGGAAATTACATGCACAAAGTAATACAGGAGCACAAGAAGAGTCAGAGCGCAGAAGCCATTTCTTTCACCGTTATTTTTCTGAGGTAAAAATAATAAGTTTACATTGTGTGGAGGGATCTCTTTTGCTGCCTTCTCTGTTTATATTCGTGCTCTCTATACGCGAACAAGAAGCTGCCATTAGAAATTAGTTGATGCAAAGCAGTTCTATACAAGTATATGTTTTGATTCTGCTGCTTTTTCATTTATATTCTGTATACATTCATAACAAACAATGATTCAGGAGTGTGGGTGTGAGATATGGAGTGTGGGTGTGAGATATGGAGTGTGGATGAACAGAAGATCTATACCTACACCCTAAAATAGTTGTAAACAAATTCCTCAAGAATAATGAGCTTTTTCGATTGCGATGAACAAGAAATCGATCAAAAAATATTATAATTATATTGCATTATTTTAGTTAGTTTGAAAGATGATATTTAAAAACGTCACGTTGATTATTTATTTGCATAAAATGAACGAAGTCAAAACCATAAGTTGCGATGAATTCATTATTCTTAATAGACGAATTTATCTTTGAATTGATTAACAATAAAGAATGCAACTGATAGTGAGATATACAAAAAAACTTACTTGATTCTTTTTTATTTAATTAACATAATATTATATATCATTGCTTGGGAGTATGCGAACAGGGCTCCTTTTGTTATTAACTACTAAACTATTTAAGATATATGAGATAAGTAAACTAATCCTTCTTGACATCTGTATCTATTTTACATAGAAGATGTAGAATCTAATTAAATATTTTTCTTAGAAAATACTAAATATGTTTTCATTGTACAATTTATCAAGTTAATCAAAAAACGTTAGATTAAAATGAAGGAAAATAAGTATAGAAATCTTTTGAATCTATACTTTTTTTTGGTAATCATATTTAATTGTTTCACTTTCATACACTTGAGTCCTGTTCTATTGTTGGTAAAATTTTTCGTGGTGATTATTAATCCATAGTAGCCAATTGTTAAGTTGGTTAGATGAGGTAGATGTGTTTTTTTTATCATTAAGAAATTGTTCAATATAACCATGATGAGCAAATCTAAGAAGAAGTGTAGTAAGATAAGGATATTCAATAATTGTTGATATACAATGTTAGAAAAAGTTTGTTGAAAAGTATCTTTAGATAAATGATGAAATAAATGGTCAAATTGAATATCAATACCAAAGAACAAAAGTTAAATGTACGAAGTTGTGACATATGAACAGTTTACCATCAATAAATGTAAATCGATTGTCAACAGTAGGATATAAACTTATCAGTTAAATAATGGCATGTTAAGTGAACGCATTTTAAATCAAGTAGATTATCTTAAAAAACATAAAATAATATTCATGTACGAGAGAATTCTCACCAAATAACACAGAGGTAGCTCTTCTAATTTTCGCTTCATTATATACGTATGCGAGAAAAAAGTTATATCATTCGATAAATGTGATTACTTCCATAATATAAAGTCATCAAAAGCTTTGCCTCTTCTCATTTATTATTCACACACAATTTTTATTTTGTTGATTATCTTTGATGCTTTTTATGTTTTTAATGCTCGTTCTACTTCTGTGGTTTTTTATTATGAAATAAAGAAAATGACTAAAAGCAAGGATTTTTTTCGATCTATTGAAGAGAAAGTTAGACTGATATGAGCTTGCCCATTTATCAGTTTATCAAACTAGACCAATCTTTCAACTATATAACGTCAATATTTTTAGTCTTATTTCTAAATCATATTGTTTTTCTTTCTTTCATTGAAACTCAGTTATTCGATTTATTCCTATCAGCTAGAGACGAGCGCTCATTTTAGAACTATTTAATTATGGTTTATTCCAGTGAACAATAACGGATTAGTAAAAATCTAAAATGGAGTTAATAGTTTAAGACGACATCAAGTAAATCATCATAATGCATTACATTAATATACAATTTGAGAAGAGTTGAAGAGTAGCAAGTAGTTAAAGGTAAGTAACAAAGTACTAAATAAAGGTGGAAAATATTTAGGATATGATTCTCCAATCATAAGAATTTCGAATACATTTGTTGTATAATGTTCACATGATTCTTCATTAGAATCATTTGCAAATACAAGAATAACATCTATGATTTATTGTTGAAAAATATGTCTAGATGTCGAGGGTGTGGGTGTTAGACATGTCTTTTACCACACCAACACCCAAAATTTTGGCAAAACAAACCTTTCACGTGCATATATGATCTTACTACGAAATTGGTATGAACCGAGTTTCTCTCTAAATCTTCAGATGGTTACTCTCGCATAGCGCACGGAGACAAACTCCTAAAAATACTGAATATTATCAAAACATCACAAAAAAGAATTGTAACTATTGCATCCACTCCCGAATCCCTGCCATATTTCATCAACGACAAAGATTCACATACACACCAAAAACGCAATTTTACAGCGCGTGTATTTCACGCAATAACCTCTTTTCAATAACCCGATTTCATACATCATTCTATGCTAAAATTCAAACCTCATACTCCGAAAACCAATCGGTACACAAAAAAATTACCCTCAAACACTTCGGCGGTCTAACTAACAACTTCCATCATCAAACTAATGCTCAAGAAAATACAGCTTTCTTGTTCCTTTCGATCAACTCATTTATGAGACTTCTACATGTCCAACTCGTTCCAAACTTGTTGAGTTTCAGTGTGGTCAGTGTCTGTGCCAAAAAAACATAAAATTAACATCGAATGAATGAAGAGAGTACAATAGCTACCATATTGCTCCGTAATCCATCAGCCAGAGAGTATGCACCTCCGTCTCCAATATTATTGGACTCTAGATCCAGTGTCGTCAGTGTCTGTGAGCAAAGAAGAGAATATTAACATGGGATAAAAGTCGAAGAAACGAAATTCACCCTGTTATTTCTTAGCGCATCAGCCAGATATACTGCACCGTTGTCTCCAATTATATTGTCCTGTAGATTCAGTGTGGTCAGTGTCTGCACGAATAAAAGAAGATATTGGTATGTGATGAATGAAGAGAGAACGAGAGTCACCGTGTTTTTCCGTAATGCATCAGCCAGATGTTGTACACCTTTGTCTCCAACACTATTGCTCCGCAGATTCAACGTGGTCAGTGCCTATGCGAAGAAAAAAATGGTACTCATTTGAGGTCAATGAAGACAGGATGACAGTTACCGCGTTTCTGCGTAGCGTATCAGCCAGATGTTGTGCACCTTCATGTGTAATATCATTACAATGAAGATGCAATGTGGTCAGGGTCTGTTCCAATAAAAGTGGATATTGATATCAAATGAATGAAGAGGGAACGGAAGTCACCGTGTTGTTTAGCAATGCATCAGCCAAATGTTGTGCACCTTCGCCTCCAATTTTATGGCCTCCTAGATCTAGTGTCGTCAGTGCCTGTTCAAATAAAATAGGATATTGGCATGAGATGAATCAAGAGAGAACGAGAGTCACCGTGTTTTTTCGTAGTGCATCAGCCAGATGTTGTGCACCTTTGACTGGAATTGCATTATACTGTAGATGCAGTGCCGTCAGTGTCTGTTAGAATAAAAGAGGATATTGATGTGAGATGAATGAAGAGAACGAGGGTCACCGTGTTATTTCGTAGCGCATCAGCCAAATCTTGTGCACCTGGGTTTCCAATACTATTGCCTCCTAGATTCAGTGTCACCATTGTCTGTGCAAAAAAAGAGGATATTGATGTGAGATGAATGAAGAGAACGAGAGTCACCGTGTTATTATGCAGTGCATAAGCCAAATGTTGTGCACCTATGTCTCCAATACTATTGCCTCCTAGATGCAGTGCCGTCAGTGTCTGTTAGAATAAAAGAGGATATTGATATGGCATGAATGAAATGAAGAGAACTATAGTCACCATGCTGCTGCGTATTGCATCAGCCAGATGTTGTGCACCTCTGTCTTGAATCCCATTGTACCTCAGATTCAGTGCGCTCAGTGTCTGTGCGAAAAGAACATGATATTGATATGTGATGATCCAGTGAAATCATCGAATATTTTTCTCTGTTTTATATCATAAGAGTACGAGAGTCACCGTGTTATTTCTTAGGGCATCAGCTAGATGTTGTGCACCTTTTTGTCCAATCATATTGCTCTGTAGATCCAGTGTTGTCAGTGTCTTCGAGCATAAAAGAGATATTTATATGAGGTGAATAAGAAGAGAACGATAGTCACAGTGTTATTTCGGAGTACATCAGCCAAATGTTGTGCACCTGTTTCTCCAATTATATTGCTCTGTAGATGCAGTGTTGTCAGTGTCTGTTCGAATAAAAGAGAATATTGACATGGGATAAAAGACGAGGAATGAGATGCACCCTGTTATTTCGTAGTGCATCAGCCAGATATACTACACCGTTGTCTCCAATGATATTGTCCTCTAGATCCAATTTGATCAGTGTCTGCACGAATAAAGGAGGATATTGATTTGAGATGGATGAAGAGAACGAGAGTCACTGTGTTATTATGTAGTGCATAAGCCAAGTGTTGTGCATCTATGTCTCGAATATTGTTGTCTCCTAGATTCAGTGTTGTCAGTGTCTGTGTATATAATTACAGATGACTCTAGTATAGATTGCGCTAAAATAGCTTGGTATGAGCTCACATATGATTTTTCGCCTAATTTACTTACGCATAATGTGTGGTGCAAAATTTGCTGCAAGAGAATAGCCCGGTAGAAAAAAAATGTCTTATTTACTTTTTGCATGCTTGCCAATATCTGTAATGCAAGGTAGTATCTGTAAGTGGGTGTAATGATGTGTCTAAGGGGGTCTCTAGGAGTATAAGAGGTTGGTTCTGTAATGGGGAGGGGGTGGCGAGCCGCAAAAATCTCGCTTTTAAACTTACACTCATCATTTTCTTGGAAAATATATGTGAGTTCCACAAAAATCTTGACAGGTACACTGTTCAAGCACCAGAAAAATTGATTGTCTAGATTTTTTGTGAGAATTTTAACAAAAGCACATGTCTACTTAGCGATGTGTACAGATTTCAAAGTTTCATTTCGAATATCATGCTCATGATCAACATATTAGCTTCGAAAATAGAAAATAGTTCAGATATGAAACTGTTCGGCGTAGGAATAGATAATTCCAGTCAGAAACAATTTCTTAACGAATATGAAGGAAATAAAAATGTAAGCTTTATAGACACGTTATGGCATCTTTTGTTTTCGAGTTGAATTGATAATTCTAGGCTTAATCTAGAAAAATTCATAATTAAAAATTGTTGATGACGTGAAAGAAAAACGACTGTACTCTGCTGATAACTGGTACGGATTTCGAGAGGAGCGGTTCCTAGTGAGGCTAACGCTAGTGTGTATTGAGCGACGATGGAGCTCGCATATCATGTCTGTAATTATTCATACTCTCAGTCGCATAGTCGCCTATCTGAGATACGTTTTTGAGTGTTTTACAAGTGTTCAGATGGGTATTAATCACACTCAATGGTTGGAACCGATAGAGTTTACCATGTTTTTCTCTGAAATTTGACTAGTTCTTTTAGGAACAACTCTGAAGTGAATCCATCCAATAAATACGAGCATACTGACCTAAGATATCCTGTGTAAATTTGTTTTCTGTTCAGTGATGAATAGCAGATGAAATGAGAATCTCAGGGAAATTTCCTAGATCAGCATGCATAATGTAATGGTAATGTCTTTAGGTAATACTATTCGTAAATTCAAGATATTACAGGCGTGCTATTTGTATTCTAAGATTAACAAGTAAAATAAAACAAAACTTTGATTCGTGGAATCGAACGATATTTGCCAGATGAAAGAAGTTTAGTTTTATGATAACTTTGATATTTACCTGATATCGATGGTATGTATCTGTAATCATATTCAATCGCACACACACATTACGAGCTGAGCATAATATTGTGAACGGATCGAGGTTGTCCAGAATTCGATAGACCAGTTCAACCGGCAATGACAAAAAAGGGGACGAAGATTGATCAACTAAAACTATTGGTGTTTTTCGAGAACTTAATTTGTTTGCAACAAATGGATGCTCAAACTTTCTTTTCGACATATCAATGTGTTTATTGTATACGTGTGATAAGCTTTTATCGTGTTTGAGTGTTGCTTTTGTTGCGTAGAGGCAGTGCAATAATGTAATACGAGTACTCCAATCAAAAGACAAGTTCTTAATAGTAGATGTCAATAGATTACAAGCTTTTATTCAATTTTAATGGTAATTTTTGAACATCCACATAGTGAATTTTGCCTAAAGTTCTTATGTTTTGTTTCTATTGAATTCAAGTAGAATATCTTAAATCAGCATTTAAGTAATTCGTAGAGCATTTGACCATACAGAGAACCAAAGCCTGAAATTGACGAACTAGAATAGAACTCGACGGCTCTATCAAAAGAATCTGTTATCACTTGGTGTTTTTGCTCTCCTGTTCGAAAAATTTCTTCACAATTTGCCAAAACGCAGTACTGATACCTGTATAAACAAAAAAGTATGCAATCGAGTACGCAACAACCAAATCTCAGCAACTCAATCGTCTTGAACATTTTAATGTTATGCGAGAATTTTCAAAAAATGTTTTTGCTTAGGGGGCAAATGTTTCAATTTTCATTCAAAAAAAGTTTCTTTTTACATATATATTGATAAGGACCTATGCTGGTCTTCTTTTTCGATAAACTTTGGACAGATTCATGTGCATTAGTTTCCTGTAATACCAATATAAGCTATACTTTTGTCTACACTTATCATAAAGGGACGTGGGCATAAATGTGAATGAAGAGAAGATCAAGATTCTTATCCACACCTGTGCCGATATAAGCACTCGGCCTATCCTAGACAATGTACATAACGACTTTCTCCTCATTGTCATGTGTATTCTCTCTTCCTCTTTGTCATGTATATTCTATCTTCCTCTTTGTCGTGTTCCTTCTCGTTCTCTCCGGTTGAGTGACGCGCCCCGGAGAAAGAAAGTGTATCTATAAAAGGAGAAGGATGATTGAAATAAAACAGTTCGATATCACGATAAAACATTCTTATCGTTACAGTATTGGGTACAGTTCTTTGAAAAGAATCGGTTCCAAGAACTGAGAGCTGTCGTAGGTCTAATCATGACGAAGAAATAGTCACAATAAATGTGCAGAAATTTGAGATTCCTATCGGGCAGTGCTTTCGCGAGGTCTATCGAATCATATATAATTCAACGAAATCTATTTTCTTACTTTAGCTTTGAATTTTTT